TCCCATGCAAAATCTTGAGAGAATGGAGAAGGGATTACAGCATGGCCACCCCTCCTGGGGGGGGGGTGTTTTCTCACTTACCCTCTTTTTCCAGTAAGCACACACATCATATAGCAAAAAACTGAAAACAAAAACAAAACCCCAAACCCAAAACCCAAAAGGACTGCTTGTTCAATTTAAGTGATTTTCCCCTTGCTCTTGCATTTAGATTTCGCATTCACTGACAGTTGCCTATGACAGGCCTTGCCCTGTGGGGGCTGCCAGAGAAGTATCTCGAACACCTTGGCCTCAGTTCTGGGGGCTGGAACTGTCCTGCAGTGGGGTGGTGGGGGTGACAGGCTGTGACAGGCTGCTCAGCAAGAGCCGAAGTGCTTCAGAGTAGGGACGGGGGCCTCCACCTTCATCACCTCCCCTGGGCCCTCATAGCCATCTTTCCCTCTCTCCTATGGGACCATTGTCCTTCTCCATGCTCCTAGGAACTTATTATTTTTTTCTAATTTTTTTTTTTGGAGAGGTATTTGCTATAGGGCGCGTGCGCTCACCAGAAAGACAGAGAGAGACAGAGAGACAGAAAGTGAGAAATCACCCCCCAGGGGGGATGGCCACGCCACAATCCCTTCTCCTCCATTCTCCTCTCGGGATCTTGGGCACGCACACACACACGCCTGGCATAAGTTTAAGCCACCGGCGAGTCTGGGACTCGAACCACGGTTACTACATGGGAGTCCAGAGACACCACCATTATGCCATCTGCTGGTCCCAGAAACTTTTTTTTTTTTTTAAAGAATTATTTGTGGCCAGCAGATAGCATAGTGGTTGTCATTGGACTCCCACATAGCCGACAGTGGTTCAAGTCCTAGACCTGGTAGCTTGCGCATGTGCGTGCGTGCCCAAGATCCTGAGAGGAGAATGGAGAAGGGACTGCGGTGTGGCCATCCCCCCAGGGGGTGATTTCTCAGTTTCCCTCTCACTGTCTCTTTCTCTCTCTCTCTCCAGAGAAGGCATGTGCCTTCAGGCAAAAACCTCTACCAAAAAAAAGAGAAATATTTATTTAATTTTATTTATTATTCTTACTTTTTAAAATTTAGAGGCACATGTATTCATGAAAGCGAGGCGGAGATGGAAAGTGAGAAGCAAGCATCTGATCCAGGACTGGAACTGCAGTCAACCACATGGGAGTCCAACACCTTAACTACCACGCCACCTGCTGGCTCCACCTTTGTACTTCTTCTTATCTTTTTTTTTTTTTTTTTTTTTTTTTTTTTGAGAGGTTTTTGCTGTAGGGCGCGTGCGCTTGCCAGACAGACAGAGGGAGACAGAGAGACAGAAAGCGAAAAATCAGCCCCCTCCCTGCCCAGGGGATAGCCACGCTGCAATCCCTTCTCTATCCTCCTCTCAGGATTTTCGGCACGCAGGTGCAGGCACCCGGTGTGAGTTTCAAGGTGCCAAGTCTGGGACTCGAACCATGGTCAGCCATGTGGGCATCCAGTGCCTTAACCACTACCCTACTTGCTGACCCGAAGTGACCTACTTTTATTCTTCTTTCCCTCATGCTGTTCTGCGTGTGCACACAGGGATTCACTGGGACGCGCGGGGCCAACGCCCTACTTCCCACATGGGGCAATAACTGCTGTGGGCAGAATCGGCCGTGTGCGCATGCTCACAGCTTCAAAGTCCACACTGGGCATGCGTAATCAGGTAATCCGATTCCTTACCTGACAAGGATGAGGCAGGCAGGGATAAAAGTTTGGGAGTTCCAACTACGAAGCCAGCTACAGTGAGAGATGTCCCTACTACATATTCATGACAAGATCCCACCGGGAAAGTAACATCTAACCCCATTCTCCATGCAGTTGCCCTCTAACAGCTGCCTACCCACATGTTTTTCTGACATGGGTATATTGCCTTTTTCTTAAATAATTATTTTATTGGGGACCAGCAGGTGGCGTGGTGGTTAAGGCGTTGGACACTCCCACATCGCTGACCACAGTTCAAGTCCCGGACCTGGTGGCTTGCTTTTTCACTTTCTCTCTCTCTCTCTGTTTCTCTGTTTCTCTGTGTATCTCTGGTCAAATTAAAAAATAAATGAATAAATAAATACAATGATAAATGAATAATTATAAAAAAAGAATGATTTTATTTAACTTGATTTATTTTTTAAAAAGATTTCATTGTATTCATTGTCATTATTTATTATTTTTATTTTATTGAGGTTGACCAGAGAGAGACAGAGAGAAAGAAGGAATGTGAGAAAGCAAGCTGCCAGGTCCGGGACTCGAACCACTGAGCCATGTGGGAGTCCAGTCGCCTTAATCACCACGCCACCTGCCAACCCCTATTTAATTTTAATTTGACCAGAGAGGGACAGAGAAAGAGAGACAGAGGGAATAGGAGGAAGCTGCCAGGTCCAGGACTCGAACCGTGACCAGTTATGTAGGAGTCCAGTGCTCCAAACCATCATGCCACCTGCTGGCTCAGGTGTATTTCTTTTCTGTTAAAAACCCTCCTTCTTCAGGATCAGCAAGTGGCATAGTGGTTAAAGGTGCTGGACTCCCATTGGCTGACCACAGTTCAAGTTCTGGAACCAGTGACTTGAAACTCACACCGGGTGCGTGTGCGTACGTGCCCAAAATCTTGAGAGGAGAATGGAGGAGAAGGGATTGTGGTGTGGCCATCCCCCCCCAGGGAATGATATCTCGCTTTCTGTCTCTCTAGCAAGTGCACATGCTTTCTAGCAAAAATCTCTAAACAAACAAACAAAACACTTCACTCTTGGGGATAGGAGGTGGCATAGTGGTTAAGGCACTGAACTCCCACATGGCCGACCACGATTCGAGTCCATGAGAGAGAGAGAAAAAGAAACAGAAGTCTGATTCTTCCCTTCTGGAATTCGCTGAGTTCGTACTTCCCTCAAGGGACAGAACAATGTCACACTGTATGCTATGTCAGGGCCCCTCCACCTGCGCTGTCTAGACTCTGGGTGTTTCCCCTTCGAAAACAAAATAAAAGAAAAAAGAAAAACAACCATTCTCCACTTTATTAAAAATATAAAATAAAAACAACCACTCTGCCATCTTAAAGCGATTTCTGGCTGGAGAAGAAAGCTTTATTCAGGAGCCGCCTTGACTGAGACTCGCAGGAGGGCAGTGGTGCGGCCCCAGGTGGGGTGTCCGGGCACAGGGCGGCCCCTGGGTCAGGCTGGGCCCCTGCCCGGAGCTGAGTCACTTTACCTGGTGTCTGCTTCTCTGTGTTGCAAGCATTTTCCAGCAAAGCCAAAGACAGCAAGAGATCTCCTCTAGCTCTGAGTCTCCTACTTCCTTTCAAATTCAACAGTCTAAGACTCCCAAGAGAAAATGATGCTTTAAAAAAAGTCAACAATGCTGGGACCAGCAGTTGGCCTAATGGCTATGTCGCTGCACTCCCATGTAGTTGAACATGGTTCGAATCCCGGACCCCCCGGCGGCTTAAACTGGGCGCGTGTGCGTGCATGCCCAAGATCCTGAGAGGAGAATGGAGGAGAAAGGACTGCGGCGTGGCCATCCCCCCTTGGGGGTGATTTCTCGCTTTCTGTCTCTCTGTCTCTCTGTCTCTGTCTTCCTGGTGAGCACACACGCCCTATAGCAAACAAACAAACCAACCAACAAACAAACAAAAAACGAAATAAGCTTGCATGAAGTAGTGAATATGGTAAGAAAGGCCAATCCAGACCCATAATATGTGTGTACTCCGGTCAAGACAAAGCGATGAGCCCTTCATGATTAAAGGAGTTCAATGGAATCAACATTTTTGCACACAGGATATTAGGCCCACAAAAAGAAGACCTTGTGGGAGACCCGCAGTTGGCATAATGGCTACATCGCTGGACTCCCACGTAGTCGACCGCGGTTCCAGTCCCAGACCCGGTGGCTTAAACTCACGCCGGGTGCGTGTGCGTGGGTGCCCAAGATCTTGAGAGGAGAATGGAGGAGAAGGGATTGCAGCGTGGCCATCCCCCCTGGGGGGTGATTTCTCGCTTTCTGTCTCTCTGTCTGTCTCTGGTGAGCGCATGTGATCTGTAACAAATTTTTTAAAAAGGGAAGAGACTTTGACATGATCATGCATTCATTCAAGGCAGTTCATTTTTTTTTTTTTAAGAGAGCTTTTTTCTTTCTTTCTTTTTTTTTTTTTAAGAATTATTTAATTTTATTTATTCATTCTTTATTTATTTCAATTTGACCAGAGAGAGAGGAGAGTGAGGGAAAGTGGGCAAGCAAACCACCAGGTCTGGGACTCAAACTGTGGTCAGCCATATGAGAGCGTCCAGCACTTTAAGTACCATGCCACCTGCTGATCCTGAGATTTCTCCAGCACTTTAAGTACCATGCCACCTGCTGGTCCTGAGATTTATTTATTTATTTATTTTTGCTATAGAGCGTGTGCACTCTCCAAAGAGAGACAGAGACAGAAAGCGAGAAATCACTCCCCAGGAATTTGGGCACGGGCACACACACACACACCCCTGGCGTGAATTTTAAGCTGCCGGGTCTAGGACTTGAATCTTGGACGTGGGACTTCAGTGCCTTAACCATTACACCATTTGCTGGTCCCGTGGTTCCTTTTTTAAAAAAATTATTTATTTATTTTTGTTTATTATTATTATTGTTATTTAATTTGGTATAGGCTATGTGTGCTGACCAGAGAGAGACAGAGATAGAGAAAGAAAGAGAGAGAGAAAGCAAGCCGCCGGGTCTGGGACTTGAATTGCAGTCAACCATGTGGGATTCCGGCGCCTTAAGCACCACGCCACCTACTGGCGACCAGAAGTAGTTCTTTCCCTGGCTGCACGATCTGCAAGGGAAAATGGTGACACGTACAGACACGCCCCACTGTGCACACACACACACGTGTCCCTGCCTGTGTGCATAGAATTACATGCCAGCACCCTCTCCCACAACACGTGACAACACACTGAAGTCCAAACCACGGAGCCTGAAAGGCCCAGGCGCCCCGCGGAGTCATACCTGGGCCTCTTGTCCGCCGCGGCCACGCACATGTGCTGGGCCGGCACTGCGGTCCACTTCTTCGCCTCCACGACCAGAGCCTCTGCATCCACCAGGCCGAATCCGTAGAAATGGCTAACTGAAAAGACAGGGCCTTCAGCGGGCAGCCATGCAATCTCGCATACTCTGCAGGGTCCCTCTGTGGACACACACTAGTGGCCCCCCAAGGGCTCCCCAGACCCCAGCTGCAGGACCCGTCCCCACTAGGACCACTCAGATGTTCCGGCTGCTTTTCTTCCTCTTGGAACCAAGTTCCTTCCCCTGGGTCACGTGGGGCAAGAAACACCCGATTTTGGTGCAGAACAGGAGACCCGCAGATGTCATATAATGGTTACGTCGCTGGACTCCCATGTAGTCGACCACAGTTCGAGCCCTGGACCTGGTGGCTTAAAGCTCAGGCCAGGTGCGTGTGCGTGCATGCCCAAAATTGCAGAAGGAAAATAGAGGAGAAGAAACTGTAGAGTAGCCATCCCTCCTGGGGGGTGATTTCTTGCTTTCTGTCTCTTTCTCTCTGTCTCTCTAGCAAGTGCACATGCCTTATAGCAGAAATCTCTTTAAAAAAAAAAAAAGGTCTCTTTTTAAGATGAGGACAAATTTGTTTACATTAAAAGGATGTTGGGGCCAGCAGGTGGCGTGGTGGTTGGGGCATAGACTCCAACATGGCTGACCGCAGTTCAAATCCTGACCTGGTGGCTTGTTTTCTCACTTTCTCTCTGTCTGTCTCTCTGGTGAGCACATGTATACTATAGCAAAAACCTCTCCAAAAAAAGAAAAAAAAAGAAAAACTTAATGGAAGATTAAAGAAATCCAACTGCCAACATGTCAGATGAAAACTGAACCCATATTGCTTTTCATCCTATTTCCTATAGCGATCCAATGTTTGTAGAACTTTAAGACCACTATCTGGCTCTCTCTTTTGAAGAATGTATTACTTCTGAAAACAAAACTAAACACCAAAACGAAATTTGTCTGTTTTTATGTTGAGCCGAACAACAAGCCCAAATTCCAAACTTTATCAGATAAAGGAAGCCCCGATAATTTTTTTTTTTTTTTTTTAAGGATGTGTTGGGGGGTCAGCAGGTGGTGTAGTGGTTAAGGCACTGAACTCCCACGTGGTCTGCTGTGGTTGTAGTCCTAGACCCAGCGACTTGAAACTCACGCCAGGCCCATGTGCATGAATGTCCAAGAATCCCATGAGGAGAATAGAGGAGAAGGGACTGCAGTGTGGCCATTTCCCCAGGGGGTGATTTCACGTTTTCCCTCTCTCTCTGTGTCTGTAGCGAGCCCGCTTACTCTATGGCAAAAAAGAAACAAAAATCTAAAAACCAAAATAAATGAAAAAGGGCCTTGTGAGCATCTGAGCTCCCTTCATCTGACTAGACAAGAGGGGGACCAGCAGGTGGCGTGGTGGTTAAGGTGCTGGACACTCCCACATGGCCCACCACAGTTCGAGTCCCGGACCTGGTGGCTTGCTTTCACACTTTCCCTCTCTCTCTCTTTCTGGTCAAATGAAAATAATTGAATGAATAAACAAAACAAAATGAAAAACAAAACAAAGACAGACAAGAGGAATGCAAAGCTGTGTCCTCTGGGCTCACGTGCCTTAATGCGTGATAAACACCAAAAATCCAGGCCACGGTCCTCTTCGCCAGTTTCTTTCCCTGCTCGGATCTTGGGGCTCTTACAACCACCCCGTCGCACACTCGGGAGAGTGAGTGCTCGCGAGCTGGCAGGTCCAGTGTTTAATTTGGCCAGGGCAGGAGCGCTTCAAAGTGTAATTTACATGGCGAGATCAAGAGCTCCATACGATCCACTTTCCTATTTAGTTAGGGCCCAAATGGAAAAGTAAGTCCGCCCCTGTCCCAGCTCGGGCCACCAGCACATTCCTGCAAGACAACAGTGAATGAGGTGCAGGGAAGGGCCTCCTTTTTTATTTTTTAAAAAATAATTATGTAGTTTTAATTATTCATTCATTTATTTTAATTTGACCAGAGAGAGACAGAGAGAGAAAGTTGGAAAGGAAGCCACCAGGTATAGGACTTGAACCGTGGTCAGACACATGTGAGTATTCAGTGCCTTAACCACCACGCCACCTGCTGGCCCTGCTTACAGGAATGTGCCTTGGTACTTAAGGGAATAACGCTCAGCCTGTCTATCTCAGGTGGTAATATCGGACCTGGTGTCCACAGAATGGGCTCTGAGCTTCAGAAAAGCTCTAAAAAGGGGCCAGCAGGTGGCATGGCGGTTAAAGGCATTGGATTCCCATATGGCCCCCTGCTGGCCCTGCTTACAGGAATGTGCCTTGGTACTTAAGGGAATAACGCTCAGCCTGTCTATCTCAGGTGGTAATATCGGACCTGGTGTCCACAGAATGGGCTCTGAGCTTCAGAAAAGCTCTAAAAAGGGGCCAGCAGGTGGCATGGCGGTTAAAGGCATTGGATTCCCATATGGCCCACTGCGGTTCAAATCCCGGACCTGGCGGCTTGCTTTCTTGCTTTCCCTTTCTCTCTTTCTCTTGTCTCTCTCTGTGGGCAAATTAAAAATGAAAAAGAACAAATGGAATTAAATACATAAATAATTCTTTAAAAATAAAAAGAAAAGAAAAGATGTAAAAAAAAAATACCTACTTAATGACCGCTGTAAGCTACGTAACCTCAGCGAGGTGCTACCTTATGGTACGCTTTCTGTCTCTCTGTCTCTCTGTCTCTCTGGCGAGCACACAGTCCAGGACTTGAACCATGGTGGACCCTGTGGGAGTCCAGCAACTTGAACCACCGTGCCACCTGCTGGCCCAACATTGCTGATTTTAATAATCACGGACTTGTTTGAACGTGCATTAGAAAAAAATATCTAACTCAGGCCCGTCAGTGGTGTGGTGCTTAGGGCTGCTGGATCCCTCAGGACTGACTATGTGGTTCGAGTCCTGAACTTCACATCTTCTTCTTCTTCTTCTTTTTTTTTTTTTTTTT